GAATGCTCAAAATAGAAATACCATTTGACTCAGGAATTCCACTTCTAGGGACCGTAAGAATGCAGCACTCCAGTTTGAAAAAGACAGATGCATCCCTATGTTTATTGCTGTACTATTTACAATAGCCAAGATATGGAAGCAACCTAAATGTCCATCAGTAGATGAATGGATAAAGAAGATGTTGTACATATACACAATGGAATATTACTAAGCCATAAGAAAAAAACAGATCCTACCATTTGCAACAACATGGATGGAGCTAGAGGGTATTATGCTCAGTGAAATAAGCCAGGTGGAGAAAGACAAGTACCAAATGATTTCACTCATATGTGGAGTATAAGAATAAAGGAAAACTGAAGGAACAAAATAGCAGCAGAATGACAGAACCCAATAATAGTTACCAAAGGGAAAGGGACTGGGGAGTATGTGAGGGAAGGGAGAGATAAGAGCGGGGAAAAAGAAAGAGGGCATTATGATTAGTATGTATAGTGCGTGGGGGGCACAGGGAGGGCTGTGCAACACAGAGAAGACAAGTAGTGATTTTACAGCATCTTACTACGCAGATGGACAGTGACTGTGAAGGGGTATGTGGGGGGGACTTGGTGAAGGGGGGAGCCTAGTAAACACAATGTTCTTCATGTTATTGTAGATTAATGATACCAAAATAAAAAATAAAAAAGAATAAAACAGAAATGATAAATGTTGGCAACAATATGGAGGAATCAGAAACTTCATACACTGCTGGTAGGAATGTAGAACAGTGCAGTTGCTTTTGAAAACAGTTTGGTAGTTCATCAGAAAATTAAACCTAGAATTAACATATGACTCAGCAATTGCATTCCAAGATATATACTCAAGAGAAATGAAAAAATATATATTCATACCAATACTTGTATAGGAGTGTTTATAGGAGCATTATTCATAATACCCCAAAAGTAGAAACAACACAAATGTCTATCAATTGATGAGTGAAAAAGTTCTTTAATTATAATGGTGGTGATTGTACACTTGGAAATACTAAAAACCAGAGATCTGTACTCTGAAAATGGTGAATTTTATGACATGTGAATTTTCATATTTTTTTAAAGGAGTACACAAGAGCTTCAGCCATTGCCAGCTTCCACCCATACCAATTCAGAGATGTCAGCTTCCACAGAAAAAGTCCTTTGAATGCCTTAAAACGTACCTACCTTCAACAAGTAGTGATTCTATAGCATCTTACTATGTTGATGGACAGTGACTGTAAAGGGGTATGTTGGGCAGGGGGACTTGGTATTGGAGGGAGTCTAGTAAACATAACGTTCTTCATGTAATTGTAGATTAATGATACAAAAAAAAAAGTACCTACCTTATAAAAAAAAAAAGTACCTACCTCTGTCCTACCATCTGCTGCCAGTTTTCAGACCCAAGGAATATTAAAGACCTATTGGTTCCAACCCCAAAATGACTTTATACCAGAGTTCCATTCTGAACTTTAAGACCAGTTGATTCCATTCATGTCTTATCTCAGTCATCCTCAGTCACTGGAAATGTAAGCTTTGAATTCCTTTATCAAGAGAGTCAACTGAACAACAAGTCCTCCACATTCTGGAATTTATATGAGTTAGAATGACTTTATAAGTAACTGAAATCTCTGTTTTAACAACATAGAGATGTGATATCTTACATATTTAGAGGTAGAGTGACTAGTCTAGGGTTTTCCAATTCAGTGGCTGAATAACATCATTAAAGGCCCAGCATCATTCCATGTTTCTGTTCTGTATTCTTCAGATTCATCTCCAGGGATCATCACCCTCAGACTTAAAAACACCTAAAGGAAGAAAAGGGACTATATTTTATTTTTTTAGATTTAGGAAACATTTTTCAAAAGTTCAGTGGTTTTTCCTCATGTCTCATTGACCAAAATTGCAACACAGGTCTATGCCTAAACAAATCACTGGGAAGAAGGACTGGAATTTTGTACTAGCCTAGCCCGATCAGGATGTACCCCTGAATTAAGGATAGGTTCACCCAGTTAGGCACATGGTTAGGCAGAGAAGCGTAGACACCTGAACCAAGGTTATGTTAACAAGGGAAAAACTAAAATTAATTCTGGGTAGGCTTCCCAAAGTGTCAATTAACAGGCATCCAAAGTCTATTGTTGGTTTTTCATCCATTCACATTAAAAGCAAAACTTCCCAGTTGACACAGCTCTGCCCACAAACAGAGAGGTCACAGCTTTCCCACTGCATCATTTCAAAATATTAACAGCAAGCAATGCCCATCAAACATTTAAGGAAAACCTGCAATATGGAAGTGAATGATTGTGATAAGGACTTCAATTTCAGTCATGATACTTAGACCCAAGACCTTCCACTATACACAACTATCAAACTGGGCAAAATAAATAAAATAACTGTTTTTAGACATTGGTCGGTAGGAAACATAGAACTGTGATCCCTAATAGAAGGGAAACAAATGAACAAGCTTCATGATCACCACAGCTTTTTGCCTGGAGGCACTTTTCAGACAGCATGGAGAAAGGCTAAGCCGAGAATGGTGATGTCACTGAGCTGAGGAGATCAGATCAGATATCACGGAGAAGGAACTGCAAAGTGAAAGAGTCCATGAGACTAGGCAAATAACAACAATTAGGGAGGGAGAACAACTACTGGGGAGCTATGTGCTGATCAAAGATTGCCCTGGGATGGGAGATGTGGATGTTCCAATTAGCCACAGTGGAGAACTCTCACTAACTACTGGAGGAGTTTAGCAGACACCTGAGAAAGGCAGAGTTTTAGGAAGGTTAATCTAGCACTACAGCAGCACTGTTCAAGAGAAACACAATATGTTACAAATGTAATTTAAAATGTTCTAGTAACCTCTTGGAAAAAAAGTAGACATGAACAGATAATGTCAATATTCTCTTTAGCCCAATATATCCAAAATATTATCATTTCAACATATAACCAACATAGAAGATTATTACTGAGATTTTTATAATCTTTTTCATGTTAAATCATTGAAATTCAGTAATTATTTTATGGCACACTTATGGCATATTTCAATTTGGACTAGTCGCATGCTTAGCAACTATATGTGGCTTGCAGATTCCACACTGGATAGTGGTGCTTTATTTAACAACTACTGTAGCTCTGTCTTAAAAGAAGCTTAAGAACAAACCTTGAAAGTATCATACTGAGATGCAAATAAATTTACTATTTTACCAATATTCAATACTCTATTAAGAAAGAGAATAAAAGGCAAAGTGGTGTCTGGGGTGTTCAGCATAAGATAAAAAATTACTAGATGTAAGAAGGAATTGGACAATGTGATTTTTAACCAGGGGAAAAAATTGTGAACTCAGAAATGAGAGAGATGGTGAAAATAGGGGATAAGAACTTTAAGTCACTTATTATAAATATGTTTAAATACCTAAAGGAAAACACAAGGGAATAAACAGAAAATCTTAACAGAGAAATAGAAACTACAAAAAAAGACCTAATTGGAAATTCTAGAACTGAAAGCATAGAATCTGAAAATGAAAAATTAACTGGATGTTCTTGACAAGAATAGACATTACAGAATAAAAGAGTGAACTTGAAACAAAGCAATGGAAACCATCCAAAATGAAGCAAGAATGATAAAAAAAAAAAAAACAAGATCACAAGCCTCAATGACTTGAAGACAATATCAAGCTGTCTGCTTCAGGCTCTGCTGAGATGCAGCTTCCTGGTTCATGGACAGCTGCCTTCTCACTGCATCCTCTCATGGTGGAAGGGGCATGGAATCTCTTTGGAGACTCTTTTATAAGAATACTAATCCAATTCATTAGGGTTCAGCCCTCATGACCTAATCACGTCCCAAAAGCCCCCCTTCCAAATACCATCACTTTGTGAATTAGGTTTTAACATACGAATTTTGGGAACACACAAACATTTGGCACCATATAAACAAAAAATATCTGTGGGGTCCTCTGTAATTTTTCAAGTGTAAAAAGGTCCTAAGGAGACCAAAAGTTTGAGAAACTCTAACCCTTTGCCACATTCTATCACTGACAATATATTCCTTGTTCAATCCACTTCTGCCTTCAACACCAAAATAACCTCATTCTTTAATAAGTAGTGGAAACCATTATCAGGAGAGATGGGAAGACAGAGCCTATGAATGGTACTGTAATTTGTCTTCTAGTATTTAATATAGTGCTTATCTTTCTTTTGTGAACCTTTGATACTGATTCCTCGGCAGTGCTGGCCAATAAACACTTCAAACTTCCATCTGGGTAATGATACTCCTGACACCCTGACCATGGGAATATTGCTTGCAGCCATATACATCTTCCCCAAAGTCCAGCCTAGATACATGGTTGCTACATAGGGATTATGGGAAAGGAAAGTAATATTATTAAGTATCTATTCTCCAGTTGCAAAAGGAGATAATAAAATATTCTAAGACAGAAGGTAACTTAGATTACTGTTGAACAGAACTAAGATGGCAAAAAAAAGTATAGGAGAGAATGTGGCAAGAGAGCCACATTTCATTTCAAGAAAGGCATTCTCCAGGAGAATAAAAGAGAAGAGTGTTAGAAGAGTCACAGACGAAGTGGGTTTGAGGTAAAAGAGCCTTTCCTCCTTGAGCTGGTGCGCAGGAGAGTGTGCCCCAATCTCTGACAATGCTCATTTTCAGTGTCCTCTTAACAAAACTGCTCTCCCTAAGGTTACCCACAGCCTCCTAGTGGCTAAATTCAATGGTCTAGTTTGAAACTTCATACTACTTAATCTTTCTTCAGCAGCTGATACAGCTGACCAAACTTTTGTTCTATAAAACTTTTCTCTTCTCATTTCCATGTGATTATTCCATGAGGCATTTTCTCCTTCTTGTCCTCCTTGTAGCTTTCTTACATAATTTCTTACCAATGTATGTTATAAATAAACAAAACCCAAAAACATTAGTGTCCTTCTGGGTTATGTTCTGTTTTTCGTCTTTTTTTTTTCTCTTCTCCCTGAAATACTTCATTCACAACCTTCTGCCACACTCAAGCCCTAATAACTCTCATATCGATATCTCTGGATCCATATTTCTAACTGACTATTAGATATCTTTGCCTGGATGCCACACAGGCATTGCAAACTTAAAACGCACAAAACTTATCTTCCCCCCACCTTTTCCAAAACCTTCTCCTCCTCCTTTATTCCCCATATCAGGGAGTGGTACCACTATCCACCCAGGAGTCCAGGCTAGAAGCTTAGATGTCATCCTCCACTCCTACTTCTCCACATTTAATTGACCACAGTGTCCCCTAAATTCTCCCTTACAAATGTTTCTGCAATCCAATTTCTCTCCTATATCCCCCAACAGCCTTTGCATAAATTTTTATCAATACTGTTATCAACAATAATGTCTTAGCAAGTCTATCCTACCACTAGGTTCTGCATTTCCAATTCTTTCTTTAGAATAGAGATCATCAGATGTAGGGACTTAAATGTTCAGAAAAGTTTAAAAAACAGTATTGTAAACAGTAACAAAAAAGTAGACTTGAAAAAAAAATTTTGTCAGTGCACAAAAAGCCAACATCACCTACTCTGTTATTCCATAATAGTTTTTTAAAAGACTGTTCACCTTCAAGAAATAGAAAGTACCAGCTTAAATAGAGAATAGTTCTTTAAATATATTTAGCTTCTTAAATGAAACAGTTTACTGGATGGGAGTCATTGCTCTAGAATCTAGACTGCCACCAGAGTTATCATGCACAAAACAAAAATGACCATGTTTCCCTAGCTTGAAAAACTCTGTGTGTATTATATAAACACTTAAATTTATCCATGTAATCTACATGCATATCATTTTACTCATTTTTAATGGTTATATAGTATTCATTGTGCTGACATGCTATTGACATGTCTGTTGTGGTCTTCTATTTTAGTCATTTTTAAAAATATTTAACTTTAAACATCCCATGTCGCAAACCACCTCAAGGCCTTACATAAAAGCCCTTCTCATGGGGGGAAAAATTGGCAGAGTAGGAGGGCAAAGCAGAAACCTCCTCCCCCACACACACCAAGGAAGCAACTATAGCAAATATAACTAAGGCTGAAAACAACTTGAAGACTGCAGAACAGACCACCTACATCTGATGAAGAAGAGATGACAACACAGAGAAGGGTAAAGTGGCAGAGCTACAATTAATTGGGACCCCAGCCCTTCCCCACCCCCAGCCCACAAGTGGGAGGAAGAGGAAGAAAGCAGGCAGGAGACAAGCACTCATGAACTCTGCACACCTGGCCCTAGAGACTTGCTATGGGAACATGAGTGCACATTGCACTGGGCTCTGGTGATTAGCGGGGTTGGACACCAGGGAGAGTCGGAGCACTCTGTGAGGATGAGATTCCTGCCACCTGTGGAGTGCAGGCATGCTCCACTTGTCCGCTGTAACCCAAAACAGAGGCAGCAATTTGAAATATTTACCAGCAGTGGGAAGGATGCCAGAGGGCTGAGGGCTGGACGGACCTCTCTCCTGAGGAGAAATGTCAGGTCAACAACAGTTTCTCAGCCTTGCCTCAGCCCAAAAAGTAAGGTACTCATGGGAGCCCCAGATGCTCCAAACCCCTCACTGTGCTCAGCCCTGAGGGGATTCTCTGCACACCTCTGTGCCCTGCCCAATCAGTCCATCAGTGTCAGACTTTGCTGCCCATCAGACAGAGGGAGACTTTGCTGCATGGTAAGCTGAGGGAGGCTTTTCCAGCTTTCTTGTCTCTACCTCAGCCTAACTGGGGAAGTGCTCCAGGGAGGCAGCCTCAAGCACTCCTTTCTCCTTGCTGTGTGCCCTGCCAC